TCATCGGGAGTTCTATTGGCTGTTGCAATCTCTGCAGTTTTTGTTTGTTATAGCTTTCTTATTTTTCGGTGTTTCCAGAATTCCAAGAAAATGTATCATTGTTGAAGATCAGCTGCCATGGGAGAGGCTTCAGATTAAACCAACTGCTGCATGGTTTAATTGGTCTGGTACCTAAGGCTTCTGATCATTTGCTTTGTACAAATGCATTTTAACAGTTTGCTGTGCTGTATCTCTGCTGTAAGCATCTCATAGCTGCTGCTATTGAGAACCTTGTTTTAGAAATACGTTAAGAGCCTAGGCCCTGGCCAAGCCTTGACTTTAGCTGGCCAGAATGTTTGCCAACAGATCCAGATGTTTTCTGTACCAAATCAGTATTTGAGTCACTTTTTGACTTGGCAATTTGACCCTATTAATATGACAGCTGGATCAGTTTTCAAGTGGGCTTGAAGAATCATTTCCGGAGGTGGTTATCCAATCCTTCACTAATATTTTTTGTTTGTTTGTTTGCAATCTATGGGATGCTAATGCAGTGTTTTAAGTGGTTAGTGGTAGTTTTATATTATATATGTATGTGATTAATAATACTTATTATTTGATTGATTTTTAACTGCTATAAGTTTTTTATTGTGTATACGGTTTTGTGTTGATATTGATGTGTATGACAGAAGTACATCCCATTTTATTTAAAAAAAAAAAAAATGGGGGAAATTATGCCCTAGATGCATTTGATTAGTGTAATATGTGCATTAGCAATTGGGACTACAATAATGATATACTTATATTGAAAGTTTAGAAAGATCATATAATCTAAATTTACAATTGGGTGTACCACAGCTAAGCCAAAATCATTGATTAACTTCAAGGGGAGAAGTGTCTGTGTTTTGTTGACAGGTTCAAAAAGGTCACCTGTGTTGCCACTGCGATGAATAGATCACATGAACACAGGTCGAGGTGTGGTGAAAGGAAGAGAAAGTTTATTTCTTCTCCCAGGATTTCTGACCACGGCCAGGGATTGAATGGTCAGGATAACACTTTCCCACTGCACTGGCCGTGAGAGATGTCCATCACAAGATGTGTAACAGAAGGAATGCATACATATCTCTGTGTTTACAGTTCCTGTCCTGGGAAAGTCTTAGAAAACTATGTCAGCAAGCTCAGAAGCTGAGTTTTCAGGGCGACACACCTGCTCATCAGACCAGACTGTCTGCCTCTGAACACATGAGACCCAGTGGACAGAGAAGTTACGACACAGCCTTGGTACTCAAGACATGGATCAGAAGTCGACCTGTCAGGACACAGTTGTGTCTGACAACTACCCAGACAGTTTGCCAACAGAAATTTTATGTTGTTATCATGATGTTGTGTCTCTACCATTTTTTTCGGGTATTCTCTGTTTTTAGATTTAGAAGAATGTGAAGAACAATCAGAACGTTGATGCCCTCAGTCAGTCACTGATCAGCTGCCAGCTGACATCACAGGAGCAGCAGATGATCCAAGACTGAAACGCATTAAATCATTGTTTGTGAGAAGAGTTTTATAGAAGATCTAGAAGAGTACAGATACTCCATCTAACTGTATATAAGAGCAAATTGTAATTGTATTTTACCCTTTAGGCAAATTGATTTCACGCTGTTGTGGTTTTAAAGTAGTAACTAAAAAATTACTAGAAAACTTACTTATTTCTTGCTGTGAGATATGGATTAGAACAAGAACAAAACAGGCTTAAAACCTAAAAGGAATAAAAAAAGTTTATTAACAAAACTACAAGAATAAGAACACCAGAATACACCTCCAGAAAACCCCTTTATCCCCCACTACTTAACAATTCCCTCGTTCACATGACAACATAGAGACAAAAAACTTTGGTGTTTAAAACAGTCCCAATTCCTGCGAGAGTCTTTTCATCAGTCTTTGTAGAGAAATGGAAGTCTTCCTCTGCTAATCTATGGAGTTTCTCACAAGAAAACCATTTCTGTTATAGCTTTCTATTTTTCTGATGCCAGCTGCCCGGAAATCTGTCATCAGTTCACTCCTCCCATGTCACACCACTCTGAGGTGTGTATGGGTCAATGAGTCTAGGGATGTCATTTTAAGGATGAGTTATTCAAAGGCAAAAGTTCTCTTCATCTGTTTCTGTGAGCTTCCCTGGAAAACAGAAGTTTTCTCATTGCCTCTCAAGGCCTCAAATCTTCAACTATTACTTCGTCTCACTTGGTTCCAGCACCTCACTGTATCATGATTACTCCACCTTTTGCTCAAAATCCACATTTTGAACACTCTATTCCTCCCAATATACTCTCCCATGAATTAAAGGAGTTTTTTCAGAACACTATTGTCCATCTCCATAGCTTTAACAGAAAAATATTTCAGCTTATAAAGCATCTCCTTATTTTCTACCTCTTCTGAAGCTTAACTCTTTTCTTTACTGTCTTTGATAGTTTATAAATCTCTTTACATGTTGATTACTCTCTTTTTCTCTCTCTGGAAAAAAGGATTAATCTGCAAGTCTCATCTGGGTAATGAAAGAGTTAAAACCTGAAAGAGTTAAAACCTTGCCCAGGCTTTGTAGATGGTTCTGTGATCTCTGCCGGAGCAGCAGCTGGAGCTGCGTGCGATGGAAGATTCTTCATGGCTGCTCTGGAGAGTGTGGTTGACGCTGCTCTCGGCCGCACCAGAGCTCCGGGCTAGCACTATGGTGCCACTCTGGCACGGGCAGTTGTCAGGAGTGGGGAACTGCAGGGGAAAGGCAATCCCACTGAAGAACCTTCAGAGCACCGAATCCTGCCGGGCTCTTGCCAAATCAGGTGTCGTGGGTGGTGGCAAAAGGAAGGAGGAGACTCACTCAGCTGTACTTCCCAGGAACAGGTTTATTCAAGAAAGGGGATGAGCACAAGGGTCCGGGCTGGGAGAATTCAGGACCAAAGAGAGCCCCAAGCACCTCTGTGCACTGGGTTTTATCTCAGGGGCGGGCACAGTCCAGGGTCCAATGGGAGTTCACGGAGGGAGGGGTAAGGGGAGGAGGTTACAAAATCAGGGACCAATGGGAATACAAAGAAGGCAGGAATACAACATAACAACCAGTAGTGCTTTAAGGAAGGGATGATATACATGGAAGGAGCTGGAAGGAGAGGTGGGATTTACAGTGATGGATGGGGAGATGGGGCAGGGTAAAAGGTGATGGACGGGGAACATTCAGGCAAAGTGGGAAGGGTTTACATAACAGACAACTGTAACCAACCAAAGCAGTAAATGGGGGAGAACCAGGAACATACCAAACAGATGAAATACTAACAATTTTAACAGAACTGAATAAACATACTACATGTGGTCACTGTCTCAGCACTCCACAGGTCAAGAGCATTTTCTTTCTTTACTCAGGACCAGCCTGGCCCGGCTAGAGCCTGGGGCAAGCCCCACAGGCCCCCATGTACTGGCCAGGAACCATGGCAGGCCCAGCCCAGCCCCTGCCCGGGCCACATGGCCCGGGCAGGGGACAGGAACCCAGCTAAAAAAAAAAAAAAGCTCTTTTACCTTCCACAGCCAGGAAACAAAGAGACAAAGAAACTCCCAGCCTTAGGGCTTAAGGTGGTGTTCACAGGTTGATCTCACTTTTCAATGGTTAAAACTGCTGTCAATTCTTAGAAATGGCCAGCTGTTGGCTAGGAGAAAAATTCCCATCAGCCACCAGCAGTTTTAACTTCCTTAGGTGTTTCTCTTTGTTTTCTTGAATGTCAATCTATCACACACACTTAGATAGCATGAATACCAGAGCATGTGTGTTAAAGGTAGTTAGATAATAGTTTAAGATAAAGAGTTTAGCTTCTGTGATAATTGTTATTTGTAGATTGTTGATAAGTTTAGAAAAGATACTAGTATAAAGTATAAGTATTCCCCCTTCAAGAGTTAAAGTGAGCATATTTGAAAGTTCATTCAACCTTAAAACCTAGCCATGATTCTAAAAGCATGGTGTCATTTGCATGGAACAAATGCTTATGGTAATTGTGTTGTGTATAGTCCCAACCAACTGTCTGCTACCTAACATCCAAAAGCGACAGAACATATGGGTCACTCTGGCACACTTGACAAAAATCAATGTGTCTAAGCCTAACCACACCTGGAGATCCTTTCGCACCTGTCTCATAGGAGTCCCTGAATGGGATTCTCAAACATTTAAGTTTAGTTAGCAATGAAATTCAACTGAATCGATCAGCAATGTTGCAAGAGTGCAATTGCACTACTGGCTTCACGTCAAGACAGCTTGAAGCCTGCTGACAAGCAAAAATTATTGAAATTCTCAATGCTACCATAGGGCCCCTAGAAGAATTAGATTTGTTAGGCTCCACCAATACCTCAGGTGGATG